TGAGATGGAGAATGTGGGAGAGGAGACCGCGACCTTTTTCTCAAAAGAATTACTTCTGCGGCGCTTTTTCTTACCGTGAGCGCACATCCCCAAGACAGCTTTTTGGAATTTAGAAGCCATTCGGTAAATAAAACTGGTTATGGAGTTGGATTAAAATGGGACACAACCTGGGCTCCTGGTGGCTCAGTCGCTGGGCGTCTACCTTTGGCTCAGGTCATGATCCTAGGGTCCTGGGATCGAGCCCTGCATCGGGCTCCCAGCTCACTCAGTGGAGAGCCTGGTTCTCCCTCTCCCACGCCCTCTGCTTATGTTCCCTCCCTCGCTATGTCTCTCCCTGTCAAATAAACAAAATCCTTTTTAAAAAATGGGACACGACCATCTCTCAGCTATAGCCCAAACAGCCTCTTTCCTCCACAGCGGGGAGCAGCGCGAACAGATCCTTGGCGAGTCTTCCTTCTCACTTTCCTGATGGCTCCGTGTCCCACGGACATCTCAAGGGCTGCGCGACTTCCCCAGCCTTGGGTACCCACGAAGAGCCGTCCCCAGCTACCCCACTGGTATGAGAGCCTCCCAGGCTCCACTTCTCAAAGCGGGGTCCCCAGACCAGCGGCATGGGCATCGCTGGGGGCATGGGCCGGAGCTTGTAGAGATGCGCGTTCCCAGGCCCCTCCCTAGACCCATTCAATCTGAAACTGGGGGAGGGGGGAACGGGGCGGCAGGCAGAGTTAGACAATCCCTGTTTGAACCAAATCTGCATCAAAACACAGATTAGCCACCCCCAGCTGATGCTGGTGCTCACAATGAGGGACCAGCCCTGGGAGGTCCTGTCACCACCTTCAGAAACAAATTAGGGGCGCCTGGGTGGCTCAGTGGGTTAAAGCCTCTGCCTCCTGCTCGGGTCATGATCCCAGGGTCCTGGGATCGAGCCCCACACCGGGCTATCTGCTCAGCGGGGAAACCTGCTTCCCTTCCTCTCTCTCCGCCTGCGTCTCTGCCTACTTGTGATCTCTCTCTCTGTCAAATAAATAAACTCTTAAAAAAAAAGAAAAGGAACAAATTAGGGAAAAAATCACTTCCTCCCATTGAAGCTTTGAAGTGCTTTTTAATCAGATTTCTTCAACATAGCAAAAAAAAAACAAAAACAAAAACAAAACACCTTACTCCTCCCCACCCATCTCCCCTTAACAATTCAGTTCTACAGCAGGCCTGGGGTGGGCGTCCCAGGGGTCAGAGCCCAGGTGCAGGGAGCGGGCGACTGCCAGGGAAAAGGGTGCGCCCGGGACCTAGCCAGACGCAGCCACGGCTTGAGCCAATCAGCAACCAAGCTAAGGATCTGGACCCCAGGAGAAAGAGAAGTTAAAAACAAGAAAAGAAAATACATGATAATAACACACATATTTTGAAGAGGGGAGAGACTCCCTGTACCCATCAAATTCACAACTGTCACCACCAGACAACAGAACCGGAAGGCCCTGGGGCCGAGGAGCTAAGTGATTTTCACCCTGAACTTGACCGGCTTTCTGTGTCTAACTCCGACTGCTGTGTGGTTTTCTTCAGAACATTGTGTATTACATTTTATAATAACTTAACAGACCAGCAGCAGCAGTGCCAAGCAGAGAAAGTGACCGGAGCAGCCACCGTCCCACACGACCCAGCCGGGGTCACAGCCCGGACACGTCCCTGCAACACCCCGACGTGTGGGACCCAGAGAATGACACACATGCCAGCCACGGTGATCCTAATGGTCTGACCACGCTACAGTCTCCCACGCAACCACAGGGACCGAGCAGGGATAGGAGAAGCTGCTGGGCTGCCCTCAGCCCCGAGCTTCTCCCTCTGCACCGCTGGCCCCAGGGTCCTGGGCCCAGAAGGCACCTGCTGCTTCTCCCTCTGCGGGGCCTTTCTCTGACCCCGAGAGGAGCTATGTCAGCTGTGACTTAAAGTACATCAATTCCAGAAAATCACAGCCCCTGAGGAAGGATGAGTGTTAGGAATGAACCTCTGGATCCCCGCCAGTTCCTCTGTTGAGCCCTGACTGTGTCTGGACACAGGGCCTTTGGGGAGGTGACAAAGGCTAAAGATGATCACTAGGGTCCAGGAGCCCTGGCTCAAGAGGACAGGCGTCCTTATCAAAGGAGACACCAGAGACCTCACACACTCTCTCTCTCTCCACCACGGGAGGACGCAGCAAGGAGGGGCCCCGTGCATGGGAGGAGGACTCTTACCAGGAACCAAATGCCCTGCATGGCACCTTGACCTTGGACTCCCAGCCTTCAGAACCATGAGAAACAGATTTCTGTTGTACAATACCCCCAGTATGTGGGACTTTTGTTTCATAAACCTGAACACACTGACCCCAGGGATGCTTGAGAAGAATAAAGTAAAGGTAATCTGCTGAGTGGCACAGAAACACGTTAATGATATCATGTGCAGAATCTGCCCAGATCTTAGAGTAAAGGGATGGGGGAAATGAGAGAGACGGTGCGGCGTGAGGACCGGGCGACTTACTCTGGGTCTCAGAGGGAGTCTCAGGAAGAACGAACAAAACAAGGCAGACAGTGTTTCACAGAGATGAACTGAGATTTCCTAAAAATACACCGAATGTAAGTCAGAACAAATGCAGAGAGAAGGAGCTGAGACACGACCACTGGGGCCGGAGGGGAGGCAGCGTTATTTTCAATACCAAGGATGAGGTGAGAGATATTTCCAAGTTTTGGCAAATATCAGGGCCTCAACAAAGATACAAAAGGAGGCTGGACTCGGGCTTCCCCTGAAACACTCAATGGGGGGATAAGGCAAAGGACAAGTCACTAATCCTATTATTTCAAATAGGCAAGATTTCAGAAGGTTCTCTCGTGGGCATTAAACCACAGCCAACACCCTTAAGGCACACAGAGTTCTGGCAAATCCGTAAGAAAGGAAACCTCGTTTCCTGCACATTCTCCTGGTGTTTATGTCTAGCCCATGCCACAGGCCCCGCTCTCCAGCGGCCCCCGAGCCCTCTGCTCTGCACCCCAGCGGACATGGGAGCCTGGAGCTCCACACCCCCCACCTGCCACCGAGGCCTCTTAGACGCCCCACGTCTCGAAGCCCTGAGCGCCAAACGGAGCCGGCACTCCTCCACGATCACTGTGCATACGTCCCTTGGGAATTCGTCATGCCCCATCCAGTCGCTAGAAGCCAGCCCAGAGATCACCTTCCTGTCGCCCCCCCACATCACACCACTTTCTTGGCCAAGCAGTTCCTGCTTCCTCTCTGCCATGGAAACAGCTCCTGGGTCCCCAAGGGCTATCCAGCCGCTGTCACCCACACCCAGCCTCACGGCACTCAAAGGCATTCTCTCATGTTGCATCTAAACCCTTGACGATCTGGTCCCTGCCTCCTCTTGGAGCCGCCTACCATCCCTCCAAGTCACACGCAAGCCTCCCACCACACGACCCGAGAGGGGCCCAGCTCCCTCTTCGCCCCGTGCACTTGGCTGCCCCTGCGGTCCCCCCTTCCATGACCCCTGCCCTCAACCAGCAGGCCAGCCGGGGCGTTCATGCCCACGGCCCCAGGACCCCCTCCGTCAGAGCTCCATCAGAGGCCCAGGCGCTGGGGAATTCCTGGAGGGCAGGGCTGCCCTTCACGTGGGCATCCCCAGTTCCTGGGCCAGTGGGAGGCGGTGAACGGGGAGCCCAGGATCACTGAATGCCCCCGGCTTTCCTCTCCCCTCGTGCACTTCAGGACATCATGGATCTCGGCTTTCGAAGCCTGGAGTACCCCGACGGAGGCAAAGCTTTGCACCCTAAGACCCAATGAGGCAGATGCGTGTTGGCACAGCCTAGTCCCCCCTAATTCGGGAGGGTCCCCCGCCTCCCCCAGCTTGACTAAAAAGCAGTTGTACAGACCACTCCCTGTTGACATTACAGGGAGTGAAGCTGCCAGATGCTTGCTTTGCTGGGCTCCCCGGGTCAGAGTCACCCCCGTGCCGGCTCTGACCCAGGAGCTTGTGATGCCCAGTGGGACAGAGAGGCCCCTCTCTGCTGGTGGCAGCAAACACGCTCTCTCCAGAATCAATGTGCGGTGCAGTTGGGGGCATCTTCTCCAGCTTCCCAGCCTGGAGTCCAAGGCCCGGCTCCCCACGCCATCGCACGGTGCCCTACATTCCGTCAGTAAGCAAACACCTCTTCTTCCTGACTCAGCGGGAAGCAGCGTCTTTGCAGCTGAGAGCCTGACTCATCAAACCGACTGATCTTGCAGGCCAAGAATTTCCGAGGTGGTCAAGTGACAAACCCACTTAACACCCCAAGGACAAGAGACGTGTGGTCCAGAAGGACGAGCACAGGCTTGTCTCCAAAAAAGTCCGAGGACAGTTCTAGAGGAGGACAGCCACCAGGTGCTCGGCAGTGACGGCAGAAGTTCCACTTCTTGTGGTGACAAACCTGGGCTGAAGGACGCTTCGGGGGACGCTCTCTCCCAAACAGTGCAATCCCGCCTCGTTACACTGATACACTCCAGACAAGCAGCTCCCGGCTTTTTTTTACACCCATGGGTAAGTGGAAGGTTACCTTGTAAATATGTCTAGCAGATCCAGTAACCAACACTTACAACCTGTCTATGGGCTCTAGTCACTATCACCAGCGAGGGCGGGAGGTCACCAGCATCTCTCCGCTCCCCATCTCCAAGCACTGGGTAGGTGCGATGCTCTAGGGGAAGGGATGACGAGCCTGGGTTTCTGCGGCAGCTTCACCTTCAAAGATGCTGGGGAGTCATCAGGGCGACACGTGCCCAACAGTGAGCTCTGCACAAACAGCATCGTCCCCAAGGCACAAGGAGAACGCATCCCTGTCCTGACCAGCCATTTCCTGTGCCGCCTAGCAGTAGAATAAAGAGCTGATCAATTCCCGTCCTTACGTTAATTTCACGAGCTGAGTTCAAGGGCAAAGCCCTGCCCCCCACCTGCCCCCCGCCCCTTGGCAGCTGCCCCCCAGCCTCCGGTAGGCAAAGCCGGGTCTTACCTGCCTGCGCGGCTGTGATTAGGGCCGTGTTCCCCTCGCTGTCCTGCCAGTTGACATCAACGTGGGGGCACTCGGCTAAGACCACCACAGTATCCACAAAGCCGTGGTAGCAGGCGACAATAAGGCCAGTCTAGAAGTGAAGAGGGAAGCGGGTCAGAGGGCCAGAGCCCGAGCATCACCACCAAAGACCCCGCGTGCACACACTGTCCCCCCGCGGTGGGACACAGAGAACCCCGGGGCCCGGTTCCGGTTGGCGGTTTAACAAGCCAGGCACTTGTTCACTCTCCAGGGTTCTCAGAGGGCTGCCCACGAGAGAGGGCACGATGCCTGGAAACGTCCGGAAACCGAGATCCCTGCCCTGTACGGTGCGCCTTCTAACGGGAGGACAGAGCAAACTAGAGAGCCACCAGAGTGACGACAGAGCGTGTGAGAAAGGAGACGAGGGGAAGAGAGGCTGTGAGTGCGGGGGACACGTGGCTCAGTCTCCAATAGAGTGCGCAGCGGGGGCTCCCTGGGAAGGGGACAGTAGATGAAGATGGGCAGTTGGTGAGGCAGAGCGAGGGCCATGGGGGAGGCACCCCTGGGAGGCCCGGGGGCTGGAAGGAGGAAGTCAAGGGGCATTGGAAGCCCAGAGGCCACAGCACAAACCCTGAGACAGGCCGAGTTTTGAGCGATCAGTCGTCAGGTGCCCTCATCAAGTCCAGCTGCGGGATGGACACGGAGTGTACGAGACCAGTCTGGTTACGGGGAGACCAGTTGGGAGGGATGGTATCATTAAAAATAAATATTTGGTCTTTGTCCCCAGTTTCTGGCACACAGCTCTGAACACTTAGAAACTGCAGTTCTTACATGCTCATGAGACGACGCACATGGTGGGGGGGCAGGGTGCTGGGAGCATCAGGACGGAGGCCAGTCTCTAGAAAGACCGACCGCCACGCAAGCAGGAGGTCAGATCTTGCCGCTTCTCTGCACCAACCCCCAACCTCACCTCCAGAGAGGGGAGCAGGGCTGGAGACGGAGTTCAATCACCAACAGCCAATGACTGAAGGCTCAGAGCAAATCGTACCCACTTAATGAAAGCTTCACAAACACCACTGAACAGTGGGGTTCGGGGGGCTTCTGGGTTGGTACTGAGGGGGGGGGGGTTCTCCCAGAAAGGGCACACAAGGTCCGCACCCTTTTCCCATACCTCGCCCAGAGCACTTCTTCCGTTTGGCTGTTCTCGGCTTGTATACTTGATTATAAACCAGTGACAGTCACCAGTGAAGCACTTTCCCGAGTTCTGTGAGTTACTCTAGTGAATCATCAAACACAAGGGCAGGGTGGGGTGGGAATCCCCAAATTTGTAGCCTGTTGGATCAGCGGGTGACCCCTGGGTCAAGACTGGCGGGACGGAGCCCCACACCTGTGGGTCTGCACTAACTGGAGAGTTAGGGTCAGGATTCCTGGCATCGCTGGAGACCACTGGTGTCAGAGAACTGGAGAACTGGGATGGAAGAACCACACGGATTTGGTGTCAGAGGAGAAAGACATTACAGGCTCCAGGACGGGGAGAAACAAATTTCTGCTGTTTGATGGGCCATCCACTTTCCGGTATTTTGCTGGAGCCACTGAGCTGACTGAACGGTGGGCGACAAAGGAAAATGATCTAAGGGTCCTCACACACACGGATTCGGTGACACACTAAAATTCAAGACGTGGCCATCCAGAGCTAAGGATCACGTGACACTGAGCACTGCCAGGCGCTCGCACCACCGCACGGGGGACACTCGCGCTTAGAGCAACTCCACCTTGACCCAGCTCTACGTGGGCCAGCTTTCCAACAAGAATGCCATTTTTCATGGAACAAGGAGGAGGCACGGGCAATCCCACCTACTTATCTCAATAAGCTCTGGTTGCTGTCCCAAAAGAACACTGAATCACAAATATTAGAATTTTTAGTTTTAGAGACAACCACAGATTTTTTTAAAACTATCATCCGTTCCGCAGCATAAGGGACTCTATAATGTTGTGACCATAGTCAAGCCTATTTCCTATGCCCCAGTTCACGCCTTCTTTGAAGTGCGTCATTCCATCCATAGCGTGAAATGGCTCACAATAACTTAATTTAAAAGAGAAGAGAGCACGCGTGAGCCCAGGCTTTCAGTGTCTGATAACCAGAGTTCACTGCCACCCACATCTGCGTTCTCCCACCCAACGTGTCTGCTCACTGACACTAAGAGGTCTGGAAAACCTGTGACTCCACTCGGTAGGCACCAGAATCTCATTCTGGAGGTTTATCTCAAGTGTCCGACAATTTCCTGACTTATAAATAAGGCATGCTGGACACAGTGTAACATCCTGCTTCTTACATAACGACACAAGAAGCTCATATTTATTACAGAAAAGAAAACAGAGAAGACAAAAAATTACCCAGACACACACAATCTCACAAACACACAGATATACGCACATGCATGCATGCACATTTTTTCTATACCCAAATAGGATTACTTGCTCTATGTTTCATGAGGACCGTATCAGTAACATCTTTTCACATCAATCAAAACACTGGCGTGTTAACATTTCCACCAGATGTGGAACATTCTATTCTAGAAGGGCAGAATCATAATTTAATGCATCCCTACTCTTGGATGGGGAGATCGATTTCCTATTTTTTTCCCTATTATGAGTAACAACTATAATGAAAACCCCTAGAACTAAGGCTTTGTGCATCTTATTCCTTATTGTCTCAGGAGACATTCTTAGAAGTAGGATTTCTGGACTAAAGGAAAGAAATAATCTGAAAGCCTAGAACACACACTGAAAACCTGTCCATCAAAAACATCCCAAAGAGCACCCACCTTTGCCAATCTGGCCATCCAATCCTTACTTAAGGACCCTGGGTTAAAAGGAGGAATTTCCATCAGCGGATAATAAAGCAATGCTCCCAGCGCTCCTGACTCCTGACTTTGGTTCCACGCTCTCTCCCTATCATGCTCACCTCCATCCCTTGCTACCACAACCACTAGGAGGGTCCGTTCTGGAATCACAGCCCCTTCTGACCACCTAAGGTAAGACTTCCCAAAACGTGCAGCACACCGCTACTGAGAGCAACCTTGGAAATCTCCGCACAACCTTAGGTCGGAAATGAAGATGATCGGGGAAAAAACAGAAACTTTAATTTGAGAGCTCAGGATAAAATGGTACTGGATGCCTCTCGTGTCCCAACAGAGGCTGACTGACTAATTACTATTAAAAACAATAACCTTCATTCCCTACTCTCTGGCGGTCTATTGGCACCCTCAAACCATGGTCTCCCGAGACAAACCACAACAAGACTTGTCACAACTGCAAATAAATATTAACCACTTGCTAAACTGACAGAAGCCCATTTTCAGATGGTCCCTAAGCCACATATAGACTGTTTTTTTTTAATTACCAAGTGTCCATGAGAATAAAATATGATTATTAAGAAAAATTCAGTAAACTACCTATAATGGGAAACTTTTATTTCGATATCAGCTAGAAAATCAAGTCCCTCAAAACACAAGCTTAATTTTGAAGGCTACACACCATAGAAATGGCACAATTACAACAAAAATAATGAGTTGAGATGTTCCTGCTTAAAAACTGTAAGGGTCTGCACATCAAAAAATGAAAATATACAAACCCAAACCCCATGCCTCTCACAAAGAAAGGAGGCTCTAACATCAGGATTTTAACATCATTTACTGTATTGATAGATGAAAGAGATGCAGGCAGGAGGAAGAAAGGTCATACACACACACACACAACCAGAAAATGCACAGTAAACATCTAGATGAATTACACCAAAGTATTAACATCCTCTGTAAAAGGAATGGGAATAGAGTGTACATGATGGTTAATTTTAGGTGTCATAATTTTATGTTGTACCAGATACTTGGTCAAACATTATTCTAGATATTTCTGTGAAGGTTTTTTTTGTTTTTTGTTTTTTGTTTTAACGAGACTAACATTTAAATCAGTATACTGAGTAAAGCAGATTGCTCTCCATGATTTGGATGGGCCTCATTCCATCAGTTGAAGGTCTGAATAGAACAAAGACAGACCCCCCCTATGCAAGAAGGAATTCTGCCAGGGGACCACCTTTGGACTTGAACTACAACTCTTCCCTGCGTCTGCTGCCTGCCAGCCCACCCTGCTGATTTTGGATTTGCCAACCCTCCACAATTGTATGAACCAACTCCTTAATAGAAAAAATATGTATGTGTGTATTATGTCTGTCTCCATAGTTACACATAGTTATTTTATAGATACATAGAGCTAGCTAGAGATACACTTATTTGTGTGTCTCTAGCTAAAAACATATGGAGATATATAGACAGAAATACACAGATACCTAAAGATACGCAGACTCTATTGGTCTGTCTCTCTGGAGACTCCTGATTAAGACAAGGTAGGTGGGAAAACACACTTTGAAGGAACTGCTTTTTACCCTATGTTTCTGTCCAGTTCTTGTTCTTTAAAACAAAGTTGCATTTGTGAGGAACTTGCATGATTTTAATTCACAATGAAAAAAAGTACAAGTAATGGTGTTTACACCCATAACACTCTCATTAGGAAATACAATTTTATGACCGCCACTGTAAACAGTGGAGGAGACAACCATCTGTGAGGAGGGAGGAGGGGCGGAGGGCAGAAGCAAACAGAAGCAGACAAACAGCCAAGCGAAGAGACCGGGACACCAAGAAGCTCTATGAACCCCAAGGCCGAACCCCAAGCCCACGTGGTACAAAAATAGGTGGAGGAATTATCCTGATCATCCAGAAGAAAAAGGATATTACCCATATTCTAATGTGAGAAAAAAAACTCCATTGTTCATAGTACAATTTTTTAAAATTTGGTACCAAGAGAAGAAACTTGAGTTACTCCAAAGTTCACTTCTATGCAACACCTTTCTCCGTCCTCCATAGTACGACCACCGGCAGGAAGCCGGAAATGGTCACACGGCTTTGGGAAAGAACTTAAGAATCTCAGTCCTCTACAATATATGGTATCTCTAGAAGGTGCCATGAGTTACTGCTAGCATGGGCCTGATCTGTTGGGTCAGGTGTGTTTGGCGTAGTTCCAATAATCTTATTTATGATGAGCACCATCATGAGAACG